TAAATTGCACTGAAATAAATGAAAACCCGTAATAAATAATTGACCGATAACAATAAAGTCATTACTGCGCGGATATTATTTTTTCCGGGGCCTGGTCTCGGGAATCATTAGTTTAAGGAGTGCTTTATTATTTTAAAGTGCAATTCATCCCGGAGGCAGTATCAAACTGATACATGTTAGTGGTTTGGGCTGGTAGTCCGCCGCACCCACAATTAAGGTATTACGTACGCAGATAATAGCAGTGGAAGTTGCTGCAAGGATAGATAGATAGATTATCTTGGTAATGGTTCGGTTACGAAATACGTATCTCTTCCACCCTCTGTAGGCTAGTGCGGTGTCTGTCTGTCTGTGTGTCCGAACGTCCGTGTGTTCAACGTCTCAGCGCATAAACCTAAGGGGTTGCCTTGGCTACACCACTCTTTTACATGCAATACCACCTATCTTTTAGCCTACCCCTACCTTCTAGAATGCTCTCAGAAATACATAAATTTCAAATATAGCCACTAATGGTCACGCTTTTCTGCGACATCCCTATTGGTCAATTTAGCGAGCTCCACGGGTTGGGACCAACCATGCCCATCCGCCCGCAAAGCGGGCGTCACTCGTCTAGTACTGACACTAAGAGAATCGTGTTTTTATAGTGTGGCAGATTTGTCCGCCGTTTTCTGTAAACCCGTTAACCCGTCCAGTTCGGATGTTGTATTCTCCGACTGAGTCATTTGCTTATGTTGTATAAGACAACATAAGAACCAAGCGAATACAAAGTGTGTAACGGCATCATACAAACATTTATAGAGAGCAACTCCAGCAAAATACAATGCATCCGCGGCATAAACCTAGCCATGCGATGGGCGCCATGGCTGGGAAAGGGGGCCGTATTTTACCGTTGCGTATTTTTTAGACGGAAATCAAGCCGACAGGGCCCTCTCGCCCTCACTTCGGATTTTTTTTTGTGGGAAGAGCAGGATGATGGAGGTGAAAGACGTGAACTGGAAATCGCTATGGCGTGAGCTGACGAGCAACGGGTGGAAGGCGCGCCCACCAAGGGGCATCAACATGCATCTCTAAATTTGGCATTTGTGGGTAGTTTTGGCAATCGCGCCAAATCCTATATTTGAAAAAAGCCAAAAATAGATGTATCCTGTAAGGGAACGTTTTGAGCTCCCAAACTCCTTCTTCCGCTCTTTCACCTTAGTTGTGCCTCATTTTAGCTCACAGCAGTCGTGGCAAGAGATTGTAGTTCCTCGAGTTTGTGTCATGGGCAGGAAAAAGCGAGGACAAATGTATCCACTCCATATACCGCGATCCAACAAAGTGGATCAAGCTCCAAGCTATCACGTTCGACACCGTTTCAAGACCGTCACTTGTTAGAATTTGGCCTGAAGATTTCGGAACGCAATCATAAAAGTGGAGTTGTTCTTGCTGTCGCTTGCCGGTTCTGTATTTCGTTTGGGCGAGAGGAGAAAGTTAGCTCGAAACGTAAACAAACCGCAAACACGAAGTACTTCAAGCTGCCATTTCGACCGGAGCAATACCGATGGCACCGCACTGGTACACATTTCAATAGATGGGAGCACTACCAGAAGCTTTCTACTGATGCTCAGAATGTTTACTTTGACGAAGTGCAGTCTTTTCGTTCCAGTTTTCACTCTTTCGTAAATGCAAACCAAGCACCAATAGTCACGTGTATCGACCATGACATTGTGGACAAGATTGTGGGTCAGATTTTAGTCGATGATGATGAGGAGGACTCAGCCTGGACGCGAGCTAAGCGGTCTAACCTGGATCTAAGTGAATCGAGTTCTCACTACTTGCTGACAATTAGGAATCCCGTTCAATTTCATGTGATGTTGACTACCTCAGTTTCGGTATGTCATTTCGAATGGCAATTTCGGTGTTGACGAAAACTAAAGAGCGCACAGGATTAGCATCGTTAGGCTCCTGCTCAACAGAACTCCCTTCAGAGTATGCCCACTTTGTTTGTATTATGAATTTGGACAAAATAAAGCAGATCATTACAAGCTCGTGGCCATTCTTAATCGCTTTGGACATGTCGACATATTTGTCGATATCGTACTTATATGTACGTATTCGAGTCTACTACAATGAAAGTATATTGAATTTGCATTTGCTGGCAATCCCTATGCACGAGGGCCATACTGGAGAAGCCATGCTCGATGCTGTCTTACCAGTGCTTGACGTTCTTTGTCCCAACTGTCGAGACGTTATGCTTGGTATTACCACTGACGGACAACGCAAAATGACGGGAGTTAAAAAAAGGACTGGCAACTCGATTTCAAAGAGTATGCCGAAGTGGCTTCATGCGTGTTTGGTGTCGCTAGGATCAGCTAGATGTGGCTCTCCAGAATGCCTTTAAGGCAGCGATGAATGTTTTCAGCTACATGACGCAAAAAATTGCGTATCTACGACGACAAGGAACTCTAAAACGTCAGATGGATACCACCACTCCCCTTCTTCAGGACACGCGCTGGGAATCTATGCAACGGTGCAGTACTTTGTTTATGAAACACCCAGTAACATTGACAGCACATTTAGATGCCAAAACACCGGTTTGCAAGCCGCCACTTCAATGGTGGTTGATATTGAGTTTGGTTAAGATGTTATCAACCCGGGCAGTGATCACATTTAGAAGTCTACAAGGAACCACAACCCTTGTAACGGAGCAAATGGCTCAGATGAAGAAGTTGTTTAGTGACATCCAGATCGTGTTTGGTGTTCGAGCTATGGGGGATGTAGACAACAGTGAGCTAGACAACCGACCTACTACATTATGCTTTTTCTCTTGAAGGACTGTTGCACGCGAAACAGTTCGTTCTTCTCAACAGCATCAAGTCTCCTCAGATGGTAAGCCGGGCGATACTAGCACTACCAATGATCCTCTTATCTCATAGTTGTATGATGCCAAATCAATGCCAAATCTTATTTCTTTATAATGCCAAAACTATATATTTTGGTACAAATTGGTATAGGCCAAGTTTGTAGATGCCTGGGCATCGAGCAGGACCACCGCTATGTGCCCCCCGGTGAAAATGCGCTCGGTAAGGCAGGCGAGGACTCTTTTCTCGGAACTATTCTGTGATCCAGCACTGCTTCGATCCGTTGAGTGGTGAGACACGGATGACGCCTGCTCCGAAATTGCTGCTGCTAGCGGGGATATTGGCGGTCACGAGAAACTCCAATCACTTGGCGTAGCTGTGCCCACGGGCAACGGCAGTGGAGCCAACGCCATGGAGGACGGCAACGCTGATGGTGCGGCGTTGCGTGCCGGGTTGAACGGAGAGACAGCGCCGTCACCAAGTGTAGACGAGGAGACCAAGCTGGAGGGCCCCGACCAATCACCACCTCGCGCCCCGGCTCCAGAGTGGACACGCTTCACGAGATCGACGTAGTTGGAGAAGACGACGACCGTAATGACGATGCCACCGATGTGTTCGTTCTCGCTCCTAATCGGATGGAGCCTGGTGACGATCCCGACGCGTATGAGGTCTTTGACTCCTGCGATGATCCTGATGCTGACGCCTTTGACAAGCATCAAGAGGTGTGTTGCCGCCAATGCCGGATGTCATGGTGTCGCTTAGGATGTATTATTGTTTGACCTATGCTCTATTCTATACTTTCGCTATGGTGGACGCAGGTTGACGATGTTCAGTTGGTTGTCGTGGACGGTAGAGAAACCGAGAGCGACAGCAAAGACGACCCAATCGACAGCAATGGTGCAAGTGAGATGCGTTTCAAGAAGGGTTTTTTTCGTGCACTTGGATGAAGCGCCGCGTTGGAATCCAGCGCGCTTAACAGTGACGCACTTCGCCAGCTAAGCTTGTCCGGCAACGGGCCACCAATAGCTGGGGACGCCGACCACATTTTTGATCAACCGTACGGCCCTGTCCAGAGTGGTGGTGACTACCCCGGCCTCAAAGACTCGTACTATGGCTCGAGCGCGGCGATCAGGAAAGTGGAAGAGACTCCGCTCGTACTGTTCCTGATCTTCTTTCGCTGACCATGTGGCTCAACATCTCAGTGAAGTCCAACATGTACCACCTCTCCACGATCAACAAGCACGCGGGTGCCCAGTACATGAAGTATACGCGCAAGAACCTGTCGTCGGACAACAAGCGCACTCAATAGAAGGTTGATCTGCAGCAGCTTCGGCCCATTCAGGCCGTTGCGCTGCTTCATGTGATTGGTCTCCTACTCGCCCACACCATTCAGTCCACCAAGGACCACCATGGGAGCACGCACGACGACGGCGGCATCTCGCGAGGCCTGTTCGGCTATAATATGGCAAAGAATCGATTTTTTTCACATCATACGTAACATCCATAACGACAACAACAACGAGAGGAGCCGCGTCGACCGGAACTGAAAGATGCGACCTGTCGTAGATGATCTCCAGAAAGCTTTCAAGAGTGGATACGTTCCCCCACTCCGGCTATCCTTTGACGAGGGTATGTTGCCTTGGTTCCCCTCCTACAACACGATGCGCATCTACTGAAAGGAGAAGCCCCACAAGTGGGGAACCAAGATGTTCCTTACGTGCTGTGCTGAGTCCACCTACTGCCTACAGTACGCGTCCATTTTTTGTCACTCGCTAAGTCCTTATGATGTATTGGTCAACATAGGTGCTCACGTTGTCGATGGCTTTGTTGTGCTAGCAGATGTGAAATCAACGTGGGCATGCAGCAATTGGCCAGCGAGAAACCGGGTGTGAACCGTGTTACCATGCCCGACGAACCTGCTGCTGTTATTGAAAACATGTGCTCGGTGTTGGGATGCGCGCACCCCGAGCACTACCTGGCCGTCCTGGGCCGATTTTATTCGTGCGCAACCCTCGCCGTTCAGCTGCTTGCAATGAACGTGTACATCCAGGGCATCTCACTCCCCATTTGGAATGGTGTTTGGTATGTTGTATATTATGTTGACCCATTTACTGGCTTTATGTTGTCGCTTATGTTCGATACAGATGTGGCGAAGCGCGGTGAACACTCCGCCGACAAAGGGGGCGTATAGTGAGACCCAGACTTGGGGGTCAACTTCTAGGATGTTAACACCCGAAATAACGCGAAAGTCGAGTTGGCGTGTGACCTTGTGGCTTATCCTCG